ATATAAACTGTCACTTACATGTTACCAGACATGAATTCTCATTATTTCAGCTTACCGAATATGAGAAATGCAGCGGCTTGGTCAGATTGACGTTCGGAAATAGCATGAAGCTGCATTCGAAAACTACGGATACAACATAGCAGAAAACCACCTCCTAGCGTTACCTAGGTATTTTAATCTTGTACCGACCAAAAATCAAGACTAAAACTATTCGAGCTGAACAGAAATCGAGCTAGCCTCCCAAGTGCTGTATCACATACCACGCAAAAGAGCAGTGGAATCAAGAAGAAGGCCGGATTTACACGGAATAACGACGCCAGAATACCACGTCGACAAGCGCCATGCATTGCCATGAGCACCATAAAACCCATTATCGTGCTGTAATATCTAAGTACATCTTCCGAAAAGTAAAAGTCACTATCATAAGTGTCCGCTGCCGCTGAATATTTAGCAACGCGAAACTCCAGCCGGTTGTGCGTAGAAAGAAATTTTGTTCTGTATCGATTACCAATTTTGTTTTCTGTTAAACCGTTAAAGAAACGAACCTGAAGAAAAACAAATAGCCAAGTGCCGATGACACGTTCCGAGAAACGTGGAGGTAAGGCTTTTCAATGCTTGGAGTCGTGGAAACGTAGCTGAAAAAGTACTATGCCGAAAAAAGCCCTGCTGTTTACGCCTCAAAATGAACAACTTCTTGGCGGCAAACGTTTTTTTAAAAAAGACCTTAACCGTTCAAAGTTCGACTAACATCGACTCCCATTCCTGTGTCTGATCGAATCGATATTGATGCTGGAGATCGAAATGGTGAGAATCCATCTAATCCAGGTACTGGCAATCCATCAAACTCGGCTACACCAACTTGCCACATTAGCCAAAGCGAGATTATCATTAAGGCGATGTGTGTAAAAAGCAGGAGATGCTGGAACAAACTTCTGCCTAACTGCGTGCTACTTTTTCTGGTTATGAAATATAATCGATAATGCAGTTCAAACTCGAGTTAAATTGAAAAGAACACCAAGCAATAGCTTGGAAAAATAAATAGATATATAATATGTACACACGTATACATATGTATATGCTTCCGTGTATGAATATATACAGACATGTAGAAGGATGCATACACATATACGTATAAACATATGTTGTGATATATATATATATATATATATATAATATATATATATGAATTACAGCGACATGGAGATATCATATATATATCCATATGTATATATATATTATATATATATATATATATATATACATGAGGCATGTGGCGCAGTGGTTAGAGGTGCCCTGCTTCGCACACGAGGTCACTGGTTCGATCTCGCGCTCATGGCTCACCAAGCCATCCATCCTTCCGGGGTCGGTAAATTGGTACCAGACAGGTCTCAGACTTGTCTGGGAGGATAAGCAGCACTGACTCGGTTCAGCGGGAGGCCACCGCGAGTCATTGTAAAGGCCATATATGCATTCAGATCACCTCAAACGAAGTTAGAAATTGAAGTCGAATGCATGGCGCATCCCTCAGGGATTGATCAATGCCGAGAGCTTTATCCTTTATATATATATATATACATATACAAATATAAACATATACATACATACGTAAAAACATATAGCGAAATCGATAAATTTCCTTGATCTCTGAATACTCAAGCGCAATGTAGAGCATTGGTTAGAGGTGCCCTACGCCGCACACGAGTTTTATGGTTCGATCTCATCCTTTTGGGTCACCAAGCCATTTATCCCACCGATGTCGGTAAAGTGGTACCAGACTGGTCTCAGACTTGTCTGGAAGGATAGCAGCACTGATAGTAGATACGTTGATAGACCACTGCGAGTTATGGTAAAGGCCAGATATGCATTGAATCACCTTAACGAAGTTACAAACAGAAGACGAATGCATGGCGCACCCCTTAGCGATTTGTAAACGCCGAATGCTTCATGTTCTTATTCTTCATCTAAAAACTCAGGTTCTAAGAACTGTGTTGAAGAGCTTTGTCATGTTAAAGTGACGAAAGTTTTTTGATTTGTATAACTGACAATTTCAATAAGTTCAGATTAGTGTCATATGGAAGGTACGTCTCATTACCGCATGGTATCAAAGCTGCATAATCACCTAAGAATGATGCTTCACTCACTAGAAATATAACCATTCAATAAAGCAGAACTGCTTTAATGTAACGGCTTTTAGCTGAAGCATAATGTAACGAATATATATTCAATAATGTTGAGTGATATGCAAAAATTTGAACGTTTAAACGAGATTCGAACCCGCATCTTACTCTCTAAGGCAGGCGCGCTAAGCCCTGAACTATCATTGCACTGATAATTTGATATTTCGAAAGAATAGAACGGTGCATATAAGTCAAACCATCTAAATCTTCAGAAATGAGGATCATAAAGCTGCCAAATTCTGCTAAAATGTTCCTAATTTGTGGAAATAAAGATGATTTATGTGCGAGTTATGAAAGGAGACTGACACCAAGTGGTTCCAATACATCAAACTCTTTTGATATCAGCAGAATCGAAAAAATGTAGGGACTAGTCAAGAACTACTAGAAGCCATAATCTCAATTTCTACCTTTGTGTAGAGTTGTGGTCCCAACAATTCTTGAAACATTTATCGATTGATTTGCTCAAAGAAGAAATTATGAGAGCACGCTTAGGTTTGAAAAAATCAATGGAACCACAACTCTGCACAAGCGTCTTGATCCCTTTACACAAGTATTACGTATAGACTAGTTGTAAGTCTTTCATCACCGCAATTCGAGGCGATAAGTTGAAAATCGTTGGAGCTTCGAGCTGTAAACATGGGCCTATCTTGCCATACAGTAAAAGGATAAAGCTCTCGGCGTTGATCAATCTCTGAGGGATGCGCCATGCATTCGACTTCAATTTTTAACTTCGTTTGAGGTGATTGAATGCATAGATGGCCTTTACAATGACTCGCGGTGGTCTACCGCTGAACCGAGCCAGTGCTACTTATCCTCCCAGACAAGTCTGAGACCTGCCTGGTACCAATTTACCGACCCCGGAGGGATGGATGACTTGGTGAGCCATGAGCGCGAGATCGAAACATTGACCTCGTATGCGACGCAGAGCACCTCTAACCACTGCGCCACATGCGCTCTTGCCATACAGTAAACATATTATTTGAAAGAGATGACCATATATGTAGACTTTCGGAGAATGAGAAAGAAGAAATGTAGAAGAATCGAGAATGAACAAACCTTGACATGGATCTGTCCGAACAGCCAGACGTAGCCGTCATGACGAGCACGGAGTCTGCCGACGGTGTCCGCTCGACGAATCCGACGATTCAGTGAACTCGACGGGCTTTGAGCTTCGAGTGATGGCGATACCATCGCTTTCAAAACACTTAAATCGCTTCAAAACTTAGCAGATCTGGATTCATAGTCATATAGTTGAAAGTAGTAACAAGAACAAGAAGCGATGCAAAGCTTTGAGACGAAATTGATAGGTGTTGGGGGACTTCAGAAGGCTAACGAGACCGGAAGCTGAGGAACTATCGACGACGGGTTTCTCAGCAAAATCCCCACCAAAGTCTTTTCTTTTCGGCTACTACTTCAATGAATGAGCGAAAGAATGAATGAATGAGTGGATGAATGAATGAATGAATGAATGAATGGATGGATGGATGAATGAATGAATGAATGAATGGTAAAGTGTTGCAACGAAGGTCCAATTCTCTTATGAGAACGTATCGATTACAGTGAAGATTCGCTAAGTTTCAGATTGTTCTTAGTTCTTAGTCAACATATCGGAAGACTAGTATGGTTAGACAGCAACTTGATATGATAAAAAAAAAGCTAATTTGCTAAATAAAGGAAGTAAAAGTAGAATGGAACACTAACGAAAGGATCGTAGCAGTTAATAGCGTTCAATTTTGGAATGAAAAAGACCAGCAGTTAGTCCATCACTGGAGAAAAAAAACTGTTAACACAACTAAAAATAATTCTCATTTGACTGCCTATTGCGGTATTATGATGTTTTGAATGAACCCAATGATGTAGAGTGGTGTGCAAAAACGTTTGCGTCAGCCGGGATTTGAACCCAGATCTTACTCTTTCCGAGGAGCATGTGCTAAACGTTTGCACTACCGACGCTCGCTTTGCGGAAAGAGTAAGATCCGGGTTCAGAATCCCGGCTGACGCAAAGGTTTTGCACACCACTCTACATCATTGGGTTTGTTAACAAACAAATAGTAAGCAAACAAACAGTAAACAATACAAACAAACAACAAAGTCAACACGTCTAATCAGTAATCACCACTCAGGATAAGAAGAATGTGAAGATGAGATGGGCTTGGCAGGCTCGAGGAAGCTGCCACTGCACATTCAAAATCGAGATTGGCGCGCCTGCGCTCGATGAGTATCGACGCAGATATTGGCGCGCACTTGCGCGTTTGAATATTCTCCTTTGATCTGCGGACACAGCCCTCTTCTCGATACTTTCGCTACTTTTGATCTCTTCGATCTACTAAGTAGATATATTAGTGCTACCGGCATCTGTGTGTGGTTTGCGTGGTGAAGTGGTTAGAGGTGTTTTGCATTACTTGTGGGGTCACCGGTTCGGCACTAGCCACTCACCGATCAAATCAGGCCACCGTACACTAAAGTATGAGCGTCGAAGACTTGTCTGAGAGGAGAAGAACGCTGACATGAACATCAGTAGACGAGCGCAAGTCATTCTCTAGTAGATATGTATGCATTCAGTTATCGATATCGATTGGAGTCGAATGCATGGCAAAGTTTCCGAGGTTCGGTTATCTACCGGGATTTTGTATTTGTCTTTTGTCCCATCAGAAATTCGAACAAAGAGCTGCCAAGCGAGTTACTTATTTGTATAGAACAGTAGAAATATCTTGTAGTTGCAATAGAAATCGTGTAGTCAGAATTCTTTTTTATTTGGCTGCCACTTGCAGTGTTATGATGTTATAGTATACGCAATAATATGGAGTGCTGTGCAAAAACATTTGCGTCAGCCGGGATTCGAACCCAGATCTCACTCTATCCAGGGAGCGTATGCGAACCGTTGCACCACCGACGCTCTTTGCACATCACTCTTTTTTCAACGCTATAACGCGTTGTCTGCCAACAGCTAGGAAAGAGTGAGGTCTGGGATCGAATCCCGGCTGACGCAAATGTTTTTGCACAGCACTCCACATTATTGAGAAATCATTGATACTCGAAATTTCTAGTATTTTACTGCATTTTTCGCAGTGTTAGGATGTTTCATATATCCCTGTAGAGATGTTAGACAGCCAACATAGTGATGTTGAAGAATGACTGCTGTTGCGAATGCGCCTCGGTCATATAGTGGTAGCACGCGTCCCCGGTGTGAATGAAACGCGGGTTCGACTCCCGTCTGAAGCCGTATTCTTGCTCACCACTCAATTCTCTTAGGAATCATTTAGACAGGTAAACTCCTCCCAATTACCGTTCTTTGTAAACTTCATTCTGTAAAAAGTAGTTCTTCTCAGATGATTTCAGTGATAAATCAGTCAAGGAAAATCTATCGAACTAGTGCGAAGCAATTGCGCGAGAAATGCAGAATGAGACAGTCGGTAGGGAATTCATTGAACTCGTTAATTTAGAAAAAAAAATGCATTTCGGGGTGGGAAACTCGTATAATGAGTGGGAACCACTCAGATGTACAACGTTTCTTTCCAAAAGGAATTTCGTATCGTTACTACGAATTCCACCTAGAAGAGACTGCTTCGGATGTGTTGGAATTTAGCGAACTTCCAATTTGCCAAGCACACGCTAAACCTAAACACAATATGTACATGCATTCCTCGTTTCCCTGCTTTAGAAGCAGTGTTGAGACGTTATAAACTATATATTCGAGATCCAAGGATATCAGAAGATAAAGTAAGCTCTGGATCTCAGCTGGGAGTTGAACCCACGTATCACTCTTATTTTGGCCGTGTGCTATTTACTGCGCTATCAAGACTCTTCCATGCTATCACGTTTTCAGCGATACTAGGTATCGAGTTTGTCACCAACTATCCGTCAATGGGTATGGTCTGGTAAGTATATAGCGGCATAAAACCCATCTAATTTGACAGCCATTGGCTTATGCAGATCAAACCCGTTGACGGTTGGTTGTCAACCGCTTGATAACGATGTGAGACAGTACTCCACATATTGGCTATACTATACGATCATACCACTGCAAGTGGCAGTCAAAATAGAAAGAATTTAGACTGATTATCGATATCCAATGTCTGTCAACACAAGTGGGTTCAATGCCGATAGCGGCTGCTCCGCCAGACGTCGACGGTTGGTTGTTGGCAGACAACGCGTTATAGCGTAAATAAGAGTGCTGTGCAAAACGAGCGTCGGTGGTGCAACGGTTAGCATACGCTCCCGGAAAGAGTGAGATCTGGGTTCGAATCCCGGCTGACGCAAACGTTTTTGCACAGTACTCCACATATTGGGTATACTATAAGATCATACCACTGCAAGTGGCAGTCAAAATAGAAAGAATTTAGACTGATGTGTGTTGTTGTTGTTGTTAGCTCACATCTCTCTCTCTCTGTCTCTCTCGTCTGTCTCGCAGTAATTTGTGTTGGCGAGCGCTTCCGTGCAGATCTGGCACTCAGCTGCTGAACTTGATCCATTAGTCCTATTCTTGTTTCAGATATTTGATGAATATTGCAAAAACTCACGATTAGCAGTTTCACAATATTCTACAGATGAATTAATATTTATTGGCAGCATACAATATATAATATGTTTTCATAATAGATGCCCAAACAATTTTGAAAAGGATTTGCTAAAGGATTTTTTTTCGGAATTTCTAGTCTTTTTACTGTATTTTTCGCAGTGTTATAATGTTTCGTATATACCTGAGAGAATTGAGTGGTGAGCAAAAACACAGCTTCAGCGGGAATCGAACCGTGCTTCATTCCGGGACGCAGTGCTCTACCACTACATCACCGAGGCACATTTGCACCACCACTCAATCTTCAACATCTCTATGTTAACTATCAGCCACCAATCCTTTAAGAACACGTTTGGTCGGGTATGCGATTTCGCTTTATAAACCCAGTTGAGCTGGCAGCCATTCTAATGAAATGTTCGAAATTTCTAGTGCTTTTCACTGACAATTTTTGCAGTGTTCTTATGTTTCATGTACACCTAGGAGAACTGAGTGGTGAGCAAAGACGGTGGTTCAGTGGTAGAGCACGCGTCCCCGGATAGGATGAAACGCGGGTTCGATTCCCGCCTGAGGCGGCGTTTTTGCTCATCAATCAATTCTCTTAGGTGTGTATGAAATCTTGTTTATTTTGCTTTGTTCACTGAGAAGCATTAGCGTTGTTCCTACTATCGATAGTCTTATTAAGGTCTACCAATCGTACTCAATTGAATTCTGATGACAATTCAATCATTTACTTACGATTACTTCCAAATTTCATCAGTAATTACCACATTGTTGTTGTAGCTCGCAACGCAGTCGTGTGTGTGTGTGTGTTGTGCAAGACCTCAACATTGTCAAGCGGCACTTCAAGCGTCAAGCATAATCTCGACACTTTGTGTCACTGAGAAAGTGACAGCAGAGGAACAGCCTCAGAGTTTAGTAGTTAGGCTGTTACCCCTAGGTACGGATCAAACACAGTCCAACTTGTGATTGATCTGCACAGTTTTACATATCAGTCAATATTATTCGATGCATAAGTGCAAAAGATTCATGCTTACAATTGATTTTAGGCACCTTATCTTTGGTGCTTTTTATACGCGAGTTTGGGGATAAATCCATTGTTTTGCAATTCTTGTTAAACAGCAGATAAATGGGAACGCAAGGTACACTTTTTTCCCTTTTTCTTCTTCTCTGAATGTTCGACGCCAATTTATACATCAGTTCAGAACTTCATTGTAATGCCAAATAGTTTGATCAAAAACTATCTCTCTGTGAAAGTTTATCTGTTTTAGAGTGCTAGCAATTTTCAATACATGAGATAGTTTCATACTGACATCAAGAGGATAAGAGAATAGCATCACTGGTCTGGAATTGCGATCACATCGTCGTCGTCGTGATTAGCGATAGCGGCTGCAATTTCACGCGCAATCCGGCAATCGAACTCGGCAAGTTGAATATTGACGATGAAGTTCAGGAAAAAGAACCACAAAGCGAGTGTGTGCAACGATGATAGTATATAACTACCCCATGGAGCTGCCCAGCTTGAGTGGGTATTCGAAATGGTGTAGATGAACGAAAACGACTCGAACGCCGACTCCAAGAACATGTAGAACTGAAAATAGAATTAGAGAGAGCTGTCTTTATTCTAACCTCTCATGCATTAATTTTCACAAGACTCATTTTTCAAGAATTTTTTCGCAGCAAGTGCATTTATGGAATCTATCTTGAGATTTTAGAACGCATGTGGCTCATTGAATAGATGTGTCGTCCGTCGCGCACAAGGTCCGTGGTTCGATCTCGTGCTCATGGCTCAACAGCCTTCCATATCTCTAAGCTTGATAAATCGGTTATAAACTTGTCTGGGAGGATAAGCAGCACTGACTCATACAGCTATGGGCCATTGCGCAAAGGTCAGATATACAGTGAATTGCCTCAAACAGGGCTAACAATTAAAGACGAAGAAATCCCCCTAACCAACACTGATGTCTTTACCTTTTTATCCCTTATCTAAAGCTATCTGAGAATAGCAGGAAACGGATATTTGACAGGACTAGAATGACTGTGCGTGATCTACCGACTTGTAGTCAAATTAAATATACAAAGACATTGTGGCTATGACTTATGAATTATGATGTGCAACATAAGGCCTATCGGCAGGCAGGCTTGACTCAGCTAGAGAGAACGGCGTCTTTATTCGCCCACCTAGCTAGGAAAACTTTGTGACAATTTGAAAGGAAGGTAACTGAAAGACCATATCAAAATTGCAAAGTCGCCCTCTTTTCTTGCTTAAGGAATTTGGATCGCGTTTCACCACAACCACAGCAAGAAAAGAAAGAGGTCGTTAGCTTACAACACTTGTGAATATCCGATGAATATGCTCTATTAGAACGTTATAAGCCTTTCAAGAGGTCTGGTACGGCATTTCGATTGTTATACGCACGTTTCGGCATTACTCGTACGCCTCATCAGCAGCATATGCTTTTCGGTGCATCCCTACAACTAATGGCAGCAGCACCGAAGAAGTATTACTCACGTCAACTGAAACGATCGCTTGATGTTGCGGTTTACAAGTGATTTTAAGTTTCAGTTCAAAACATTCTCTCAAGCTCTTGAATCTTGACAGAGGTCTCGAAGTGTCGCTCGGGAGGTGTTGCTAAATGCCATCTTACCAGCCGTAAGCCATCAACTGAAAAATCACTCTAGATTGCAACATCAAGTGATCGTTTCACTTGATGGTGTAGAACTTTTTTGGCGTCCCCACCATTAGTTGTAGAGGTGAACTGAAAGGCTTATGCCACAGACTGGACATTGAGTGACGCCGAAACGTACGTATAGCATTCGAGATGTCGTAGCAAGCCTCTTGAAAGGCTGAGAATGTTCAATCAGACTATACTAAATCTTAAGCGGTTTCAAAGTAATCTATTGGAAGGTATCACTAGATGAACAGTTTCTGCTCGACAAAATAGGCACTACGACTTCTAGCAGAATGGATCGAAACAAATAAATGGTCACAAATGAATAAATTTTGCCAAATGGTTTTGGAAATCTATAAAACAAGTTTCTATGGCTGTGGCATATAGGGGCGTTCTACGGACATGCTCCTCATCGGTAATTCCGCATATGACCAAATAATTTTTCTCCCCATAACGTCCAGGCCAATCACGGTGTCGCAGTGTAATCAGCATTGAATTATATCACGCTTTCATTGATGCGCTAATGCGAGGCTTCCAGAAAATCTTTATTGATATGGCTTAACCATAACAATAACGATTTGATAAATACATCGGGTCAGCTCACCAATAAAAGAAAATTACTGATCATTCACATCGATGTTGAGTGAATGTTATAAATTGAAATGTTGATCTAGTAATCAGTAATAAGTCTTGACGCCACAAACTGGATCT